TTTATAATTAAGAAGTTATCTTTAATTATGATCAATACTTTCTGGGAAGTCTATAAGCTTCCATACAATATATAGATTATTTATTTCTTTATGATTTATGATTTATATTTGTATTTTAAGAATTGTATTTTTATTATTTAAAGTTGTAAAATTCAAACAAATAAAGATAACTTTTATATAATTTTACAACAATAAAATTATTAGTTCATTAACAGTGTTAAATAAATATCTAAACGTTTGTAAATAATTGTGATAATTATTTGAACGTTTACATATACTTCCCTTCACACCCACCAAAAAAGGATTTAGAATAAAATTTTGTGTGACTTGGTATGGAAAATATGAGCTATACCATACCATACCATATGTTCTGTAAGTGTTATACCATACTGAATCTCTCCCTACCAGAATTTTTGGAATATGACCGTCCCTCGCGTGATTAAGCATGATTATGCGCGACATAAAAATTTAAAATTTAAAATTTTCAAAGTAACCAACCAAACATCTATTTGTATTTCTTTTTTTTTAAATAAAACTAAGTACAAACGCCTATTTATATTTTTTTTCTTGAATAAATAATTAAATATTATACTTGAATCATAAGTTTTATATAGCAATTTTAGGCAAGAATCCAGTGGTCCCTCCATATAAAGATAAAATATTTTATAAGAAAGTCCCTTTGAAAATTTGTATATTAAAATTGGGTTTCTTATTATTTATTACAATTTATAAATTTGTATAAATAGTAGTTTTTTAGAATGAAGTATGGGTTCCGGAAAATTTCAATTAGTGATCTGTGAAAATTTGCGCCAAATTCTATTATGAAATTATTATTATTAATTATTGCAGTTGTTTCACGTATCACGAATTAATATAGATCTTTTTCCTAGTGATTATCGGCATCATTTTTGTGTTACCTACCTTTTTAAAGTATCACAAATTAATTATTAATTGAAAGGACATAAGGTTTTAACTCGCATGTCCATAAATTGTATTCGTTTAAAAAGAATATAAAAACAATGCTTGGTATAAAATACACAATTTAAAGTAATTAGTTAGTGAATGGAAAAATTCGGGGCATAATTACCAATTAAAAGGAAATAATTTTTATTAAAGCCAGCCTTGTTACTACAAAGTTTTTATGTTTCTACAAAAGTTGATACTTGATTTCTACTCATTTTATACAAATGAATGCAAACAATATTCTTTTACGGCGATATAAATGCAATATACTTGATTTCAGGGTTGGAAAATGTGCAGTTCATTGATGGTCTATTGGTGGTCCATTGGGTCCATTAGTGTAATACTTTAACCATATTTAGTATTTTAATAATGGCAATGGACCAGTCTAAAATCCATCTGTTCTCAATATGCCAGACAATTTGTCAACTCTGCTTGATTTATTCTTAAAAAAATAAGTGCGTTTTAAGATGTAATGATTTACTAAATTCATAGATAACAATAACTTATTTATAAATATTTTTCCTTCTTTGCGCTCGCTTATTGGGGTTAGCCAAAAAATTATAGAATTTTTCATTGTTTCAAAGAACTAATATCAATATATGGGGAGTGAACTTTTCAACAGAAACGGGCCATGTTGTGAAAATGATAAGCAAAGTGGGTATAGTTTCTAATCCAAAAATGATCCACACGAGAAGTTACATATAACAATGATATTGACTCAATGTTGAAAATCCAGTACATGAAATGTTGGGGTGTTACAAATTATAATAAACACAAACATAGTTGAGCACACATATAAAAAATCATATGTGCGGATTTTTCGCC